GAGAGAGAGAGAGAGAGAGAGAACTTGAAAGGTAAGGGGAGGGGAAGCATGTAAGAGATAAAGATTGTGTGTGTGATAGACAGGTGGTCCATCTTTGCCCTATTCTATAAATGTTCGCTTTTTAGCACAAGCGGGCTATCCCGAGAAATGCTGTTTTGAGAAAATCGAAGGTAAAGTTTTTGCTCCTTGTTCAGTTTCTTTAAAAGACAAGGAGAGTTTTCTCTATAACCAAATAAATGTACACACCAATGAAACCAAACTTCTCTTATAGTAGGGTAATTACCACTTTTGATGTTGGTTAAGATTTCTGGAAACCCCCGAAATCTGGGTTAGCCCGCTTGTCCTTAAAAGCGACCAAATATAGGGCACCATGTAACCTCTGGAGAAGCCCACGTGAGACGTTCACTGTTTAAAAACAATCAAGAAACGACAAATGCAGTTTTTGGGATACCTGAATAGAAATAAGTGTTTTGAACATCTATCTCTCACTGGCAAAATTGAAAGCAAACGAGGCAGGGGTAGGCCCCGAACAACCTACTTTGGGAACCTAAACAAATGGGTAACAGGGAACGATCAAGGAAACGTCGCTTTTTAAAGAGCATCAAAGCAACAAAAAAAGTTGAATGGAGAACGATGATCGCCGATGTCTGTCGCAGATCTGGCACTGGATGATGATGTTGTTACCTCTGTTGGTATCACGCTGAACTCCGGAGCGAATAGCCCTGGTTCGAATCGCCAATGGGATGTTCTAAATTTTGGCTGCATTGTGTGTGAGTGGAGGGGGGTTAAAGGCTGTCCACTCGCTTGGCTCGATCCTTTCCTGTCCCCGTGGTTTTATGCACCCCGCATAATTTAGCAAAATTTGATTTTTTTTGTGTGCATAATTTCTTATTGTTTTCCTTTATCATTCTTTGTTACTATTAACAAAACCGCATGATTTTACATTTTTTTAGTAATTTGCATAATTTCAGAATTTTTCTTACATAAAACGACGGGGATAGCCTATCGGAGATAGGTGTTAGATTTGGAGATCTCCACTCTTTAAAAACATTACAATGTTGAAAAGGGCGTTAAAGA